ACATGGAAATCCATTATACAGAGGTTAAAATGTATATATATGCAAAACCAAAGCTGAATAAATATTTGGTTGTTGTTAATATCTTACTTGAATATTACATTCCTGTTACATAGCTTATTGAAGTAGCAAATACTGTAATTAGTCTAATTAGATATAAACATGTGTTTGAAGGTTATTATATAATACATATTTATATATATGTATGAGTTCATGGCACTTATCTCAGGAACTGTGATGTAAAGTATATCTGCTGTATATTTGTGGAGGGCCTGAGGAAGACAGAGAGGAGCAAACCAGGGAGGCAGGTGGAGATGCTGTACTTTTTTCTGGGGAGGCTGATACCCCTGAACTGCTCCTGTGGCCAGGGGACAACAGGTGGCCAGCTTGGCAAGCAAGAGGAGGAGCCTGGCATAGGATGGGCTGCATCACCACCAGGATCGGAATTGCTTGCTTGCTTCTTGCTGTCTATTGACTCTGGATGGATTTGGCCTGACTGTGCATGGCCTGAAGGTGCCTGTAAGACAAGCCTGGTGTAAGGGGTGAGAGAAAACAGCCCCCGCTGAACACTACAGCCTCTGCAGTGTGCCGGGCTCCTGCAGCCGAACAAACCTGCTGGCAAGTGCTGGGATTTGCAAAGTTTGCTAGGATGTGACAACCTGTGCTAGCCATGTCCAGCAAGCACTAGTCACAGCAGTGAGGAGGAGGTTTCAAAAGTTTCCAGACACCGTACAGGCAAAATGTCCTCTGAAGCTCTCATGGCAGAACTCAAAGTATTAGAGCATGCTGAAGCCAAGCAAGTGCTTCCTCAGCAGTACTATTTCTCAAAGCAGCTAGAGTTGAGTTAGCGTCTGTGGTAATCGTTTACACCTTTAGCTGTGGAAATATAGTTCTCAAAGAAGATCGTCTTTTGTATTTCTGAAGGAGTTGCTCTTTCAAATTTCCAAAGGAGTTGCTACTCCAAGCTGCTAAGTGGCTGCTCCTCTCACCATCTTGTTCCTCCCTTTGGACAGATCCTTCAGTTTGTGATTGTATCTTGTCTGGGAAGGAATGGAGCAGGTTAGCCCACTTTTCACAAAAAAAAATCTTAAAATATTTGCAGCCATCCTTCTGCTGAGCCTGAAGGAAAGCAGAGGTACTTTTTTTTGTGTGAGTATTAATTAAGCTTCACAGCATCCAATGATAAGTACACAGGCGTGACACCCCTGAGAGATGGAGAGATAAAGCGGTGATATTGCTTTCCAATGGGTGTGGAGAGCATAAGAATCATTGTGGAAAGCATGAACTCAGCATAGAAGCCCTTGCAACAAGTAATTTTGTAGTAACAAATCTTTGTTCATGTTCTGAATATAGGAACTCAGTGATGAAGATGTGACTTTTTGCCAAAATAGTTTGAAATATAATTACCTTATCATTTCATCTATGCAAAAAAGAGCTACAGTTTTTAAAAGCTTGTTCAAGATTCCCACTAAGTATGATCTCAATTTTCATTCACACACAGACCTCCTGACCTTGAAATGCTTCTTGTTTCCACTAGAAAATAATCACATTTTCTGTTCCAGTACTGACACCCTTTTTTTTTTTTTCAATGAAGGAACTGAAAATGAAAAAATAAACGGGATAATTCTCAGATACCACCTCTTTTTGTCTGAAAGCAACAGCATTTCCACCAGGCAGGGGACAGAACAAGAATTTGGTTCTGGAAGGTTCTGGAAGGTTTCAGGTTCGGACGGGAAACAGTTCTGGAAGGTTTCAGGTTCGGACGGGAAGCTGTCAAAGTTAATCAACTACAAATCAGTGTGTAGGAAATTCTTCCTCCACTGAAACTTCAACAAAGAACACAAGCTGAGGGCAGACCTAGTTCTGGGCAATTTATAGGAATGCTTGAGTAGCCAGATCTTCACAATTTAAGCACTAAATTGTATATCCAACTACTTGAGTGGAACCAAGAATTTTGAACCTGTGAGTAACCTACTATAAAAATATTCTTTACAATAGTGCTCTTAAGGAACTTAAGGAACTTCTCTGTATTTCCCTCATCGCTCACAGAAGCGATGAGGGAAATACAGCTGAGATAAATGCTTTGGAATATTTTCAGACTAGTTGTTATATGCATATCCTGAGCTGCAGAGGTTGTGTAACTTCAACTTAAGCTCTGCGACTATGGGACAATCTGGGGACATTTTATGTAGAGTTCAAGCTGCCATATAATTTCCTGAAGGTGAAGAATAGATTGTGCTCCCAGATTTTCGGAACAGGCAGTCTGCTTGGTCACAACAAAATTCTCTGAGAATGGTCCACAAGGTGACACAAACAACCAGAACTGGGTGCCACCACCCAGGAAACCTTCCAGGCCAGAAGGTTTTACACTGGCTCTTCCTCCGAGCCAGAGGGGAAATGCAAAAACAGATTGTGTGGCTCAGCCTTACTCTCACTGAGGATCTGCACTATTCATTCAGCTGTTTGGCAGAAGTATCTTTTGGGGTTCTTTGTACCCATGAAAAGGAAGACAAGAAACTTAGAAAGGGCTGTAGATCTGGGCCATGGACATCATCTGCTAGTGTTTTCTTTTTGACATCACAAATGGCCTAAATATAGGAGGGAAGATTCCTGCAGAAAAATGTCCTCACTGTTAAGCACTGAGGATTAGCAGATAACTTACTTGTTTAGTGTATAGACAAAGCTGTAAGAAATCAGAGGCAATTTCTGAACCATGATCTCATTCTCAGCCTGGGAAGCCAAGTGTCAGGACCGATATATTTAAGGAATCTGAAGAACCTATTCTTTAGGAGAATGCTAGCAAGAGGCCATTTTTGTCCTGATTAAAGTCTTTCTAATAGTATTATTACAAGAGCCAGCAATTTATTTCTTTTTTTCTTAGAAGTACAAACTAAAGTAGGATAGAATATGATCATAAGTGGCTTCCATTAACATTTGGTAAAGAAGGTTTCCTGCCATTCTTGATTGGGAGCTGAAGTGTTATCCCAGTAAAGGTCAGCTAGACAATTTCTGAAGGTGAGAGGCTGATTCAAACAGTGCACCTAGTATGGGGATATGGAGCCTATCACAAGCCACAGTAGTGGAGGAATTTCCAAAGGACTAATTGGTTATTCACCCATCACTCCTGATACCTTTGATGCTCTCAGAGCATTTCATTGCAACCGGGTTACAATTCACAAAATAGTGAAAATAAGGCCTTTAATTAATATCTTGCACATTTATTCTATGAGGATAATAGTGTGAAATACCAGCTAAACTCGGTGCCAGCCCTGGACTGAATCAAAGAATATATTTTTTTTTTTATTTTTTATTTTTACAGTTTCAGCCTTGTACAACTGTAATTACAATTAGATAATGTTAGGCTCTCAGAAGGAAACCATTGATTTTTAGGAAGGCCAGATGCTGCATAGTGAACAGTCAGTTTGGGGAAGAATGACTGCAGCAAAAGCTTACAGGTTTAGCTCAGAAAGTTCTAAGAGTTCAGCTGTTGCTTGCAGAAATCTAGTTTGCGAAGCAGTGAAGAGTTATTTCAGCATGTAGTTTTAAGATGCAAAATATTTACCACAAGCATTGCAGAGAAGGAAGAAGCTTCTCTGTAGAGGCCTCTGCAAACTCTCATGCAATTTAGGAAAGATTACAGTATTTTGATCATAAAATTGACAGTCTGGAAAATAGATTGTGACATTCAAACCGCATGCTAAACAAAGACCACCACAGAAGTTCAAAGGCAAATACATTGTTTGGTTTATAACCAATGGATTATTTAAAATCTGGGAAGAAAATGCCTTTATATTTCAATGAGCTCACAGATTGTCTCAGCCAAAACCCACGAAAAATACTCAGTAAAGGAAGTGCCATTACATGTGCTGAGAATCCTGGAAAATTCTCCTGGCAACAGGATTCATTCATTCATTTGCTTCCCAGAAGTCTGCTTTAGAGACCCTAAATAAACAACCTATTACAAAATCCACTGAAGCTAATAAAGTTATTCCCAGTGATGTTTTTGAGCTTCAAATTGATTGAGAGAAAGAATAAATATCTTGGGAGGGGAAAAGATGAAGACTGCTTTCCTATATCCAACTGTGCTCTGAATTTACCATTACCTCAAAACTGCTCTTTTCAACGCTGCAAGGGACTGAATACCCCTAGCTTAATTTACTGGAAACAAAAAGAAAATATATAGAGTTATTTTCTTTATTTTATAAGTCCAACTAGTTTTAGGGAAGATACTTGATAAAAAGGCCCTAAACTTTAAGATCTAGCCAGACAGAGGTTTCTCCACTGTGGAGGAAGACGACAAATGGCAAAAGTCAGTATCATCAGGTCTGTGGTGCACCACTTGTGCAGGCTCACCTGGAGGATGGCTTCATGGTTCCCTTGAACCTGTATTCCTTTTTGACCCCAGCCAGGTGGCCCATGGGTGCTTTTGATGAATAGTGTCAGATTTGATTCTGGGTTTTGTTGAAGCTGGATTTGGTGTATTTGAACCTAATTTACGAAATACAATACTGCTGAGTAGAAGAAGGGCAAAAACTGACCACCCTGCTTCCATCTGTGAGAGCTCCCAAGCACTGTCACCTTCATACCTTCTTTCCAGCAGGAGACCTGATGGTAGTCATCACTCTGAAATGTTCATTTCTGCACAACTGGCCAGGCCGGAGTGTTTTAAGTAAGCCAAATGATACACTATGGATAATGATAATTATTAATATGGTTCCCTTTCTGGTACATGACTTTCTGAATGCTAACACTGATTTTCAGACAATGTGTATAATTGGGCCACCTCCTCAGCTGATCTTAGTTAACATAGCTCCTTGAAGGTGATGGTGCCAAGTTAATATATATCAGCTGAGGATCCTGGCTAAGGATTTTTTAGATGTTGCATAGTACTTTAAACTAATTTTTTATTTGGGACCACAGAGGATTGATCTCTTCCAAAGAGATGTTTCTGGACTGTGCTTTACAGTTTTTTCTATCCCTCTGTTTTGTTTTTTTTTTTCTAGGCTTTTGAAAAAGGAAGAAAATTTTATTTTTATCCCTCGTTCCCGTGAAGAGCTTCCAGAAAACTTTCCAAAGGAAATTCCTGGGATCTGTTACTTCCTCGAGGTCAAAAGTGGTCAGAAGCCGCCAAAACCCTCCATCACATCTGCCAGAGTGAGAAAGGTTTCTTACAACATTGGCACCATGTTCCTCCGGGAGACTAGCCTATGAGGCCTGCTGCAGATCAAAGACTCGTCAAAAAAGCACAAGCCCAGAACTGGGTCATGACAGGGGAGTTGGAGGTTCTTTCTGTTTCACTGCCTTGTTCTGAACAAGCAGTAAAAGCTCCATGTAATATCAGGCAATAATCATTTTAGAAGGTGGGTGACTGCTGTCAGTAAACAAAGTGGAGATAGGGAAAAAAAAATTAAACAACGTACTTCCACTTCCAGAGGAATTTCTTTCATAAACTTCAGTCTGGCCCCTCTCTGACAAACAAAAAGAAACAAAACAAAACCAACCAAACAAAAAAACCCAACTCTCAAATTAGAGGTTGGTTTTGTTTTGTGCAGAAAGGATGATGGTTCTCTGTAGATTTGCACCAGCTAAGCAGAATTGAGAGTCAGTTCTGATTATGCATTCCTACATTTAATGTGTTCTTCAGTAAGGTAATGATGTTTTTTAACTTTATGAACAAACATTTCATACATATACTGTACACCTGTTGTAACCTTCCTGGCAGGAGGAATTATAATTCAATACAAATATTGTAGGAATTTTACCTATTTTTATACATATTTCACTTTCTGGATAATTACATTCCACATACTGTAAACTGAGTGAGCTCAGATAGCTTTTCAGAAGAAGCTACTGTATATTTCATACATTCTACCTATCAAACCTTATTGTTATACAAGTGGGAAGAAGTCATTTTTTGACTTTTTTGGCAACAAGAGTATCAATATTTTACAGAAAAAAAAAAAACAACCAAAACACTTTGGTAAATCTCTTTACCTGATGTTTATGCTAAAGCTTTAGATGAGCGTTGTCTTGCTTATAGAAAATAATGTTCAGTATTTGTCTTACAGTGCTGTGTCCCCAGTCCTTCCAGGACAATGCAAACAAAGTGTAGAAGATCAATGTGTTGACAAACAGAGAAGTTCTCTTCAGTGGGGCCAGTTTCCCACTAAATTGTCAGCCAATCTGACTTTTGGTAGGAGTCCTGGACTTTTAAAAAAAAATCGATCTTGTGAAAACTTATTCTGAGGAGTTCCAGCAGATGCTGGAAACTCTCTGGATACTGGTTTTCCACATTTTTTTAATGGGACTTGTGCTCCTACAGCAGTTCGATTATTGAAAATCCTATCTGTTATTAATAATGCTCATCTGAAAATTTCCTCTGTTGCTTGATTGGCTGGAAGGTCCCCTGCTTTGTCTAATGTAAACCAAAAAAACACTGAAAAGGGGAAGGCAATACTTTCCCAGGTTTAATGCAAATGGCAGTTCAAGATTTAGATGAGTCCACGTCAATTTTTTAAAAAGGGTCCAATTCTTCGCTGTGAAAATTAATATAGCTTTATTGTCTTCAGTGAATCCAATTGAAACAAGATGTGCATCTGTCCCCTAATAGGCACATTTTCAGGCATTGTTTATATCTCAGGTTTTCCTATTCAGAAATAATGGCAGTCAAATTTCCTCTACAGGTGTACTTCCTTTACAGTCATACTGAAGTGGGCTGATGTTGTTCTGCTCTTGCAGATTGTTAGCTAACTCTTGTGCGGTGATTCTGAAGTGGCTTCGCTTTACGTGGGCCTGATCAAAGCTCACTGAAATCAAAGATAAGACTCTCAACAGCACCAGGAGGCATGAGAAGCTCTACATTTCTATAATCCAGACCAGTAATTAGAGTTTACTTATGTATTCAGTAGTCATAATTTGAGACACTTTTTGAAAATAAGTAAATAACTTTCACCGCATGTCCAAATTATCCAGTTAGATCTTTCTGTGGAGGGAATTACAGTTCTGTATTTCTCCCCTTTGACCAGTAGCCCGTGTTAGAGTGGGAACAAGTTAGTGTGGCCCTGCTAGCCTGTGCTGAACATGTTTCAGGCTTCCTTTCCATGAAGCCTTTCTGAATGAGAAAGGACTATCTTGAACCTATACAGACTTCAGCATGTAGAGGACATCTGAACTTACTATGCAGGTGTGGTTTTTTTCTTGCCTGAAGAGAGTAGGTGCATGGGAATTAGCCCAGAAACTTACTTAAATGGAAATTCCCTCGCTTTCTAGAGGAACATTGATGTTAAAGATTTCTTCCATTGACATTAGAGCATCCTTGGGACTGGAGAAGTTAATCTTTTACCTGTCTTGATAAACAGCATCTGCAGCTCTACTGCCTGTTTGAAAAATGACTTAACAAAACCTGCTTGAGCTTGAGGTTTCAGAATTTCCCTCCAAACTACAGATCTGACAATTTTCTGCATAGGATGACAAGTTTTAGCCTATAGCCATTAGTTTGCACATACACAGAATGTAGCATGCATTTTTTTCCTGGAACACCAGTAAGACATGCAAGAATCATAAACACAGCAAAGTTCACATTTCACCACTGGAAGAGGAACACCAATTCCTAGCTAATAAAGCTGTGCTTTTGATGTCATTAGCTAGTTCCCTAGAATAAATTTTTTTCAAATAGCTATCAATACATTAAAATTTCATTCTGACTTCACTGGCACATCCTCATTGTTCAGTAGGTGCTGAACCCACTGAAGGTCAGGGTACCAATCTGTCTGGCCAAACTCTTTTACTCTTCTCATCACCTGTAGTCTTGTGTGAGGAGAACAAACACAAAGGTTCAGACCAAAAGCCTGTAGCTCAACAACTTTTCTCTCACAGTTGCCAATAGGAAATGTCTAGGTTAATTCTGTGGCTGATCTTGGTAGATCTATGGAAACATTTTCATGAGAAATGATAAATAAATGCTAATTCTACTGGCAAATAGGAGAAGCAAGCTAAAAAAAATTGTATCACCATTCTCATCCTCTCAATGGACTGTTTATTCTATAAGGAAATTTATAATCACAGAGATCAGCGCAAATACTGAAAATTGATGTCGGCATCACCATGGAGACAATGACGGTGTTTGCAAATAAATCATCTAGCTCCCCAAATTAGAGTAGATTTACTGTATAAGAATACACAGTCTCTGCTTTTTATAAGCTTGTGTAAAGGTAACGTGTCCAGAACTTCAGCACTGATGCTAAGTATTGTGTTATTAATTTCTGTGTTAAGACAGGGAAGTTAATAAAAAAGTATGGGTTTTCTAAGGACCTTTTTCTGTCTCAGTGTGAGAAAAGAGTAAAACAAATTCTCAGCACTCTTTAACTTAGTAGTTGCATCTGCTGCCTTTATTATTAGGTTGGAAGTTTTTCTTGAACACCTTTAGGAAGTAAAATGAAATTTATTATCAAGGTTGATGCTGTGAAGTCAATTAGATGGTAGTCAGACTCAACATTTCTTCAACAACACTTACTTTTAGTGATAGGGAAAGCATTCTCATTTGCCTGGCATTGTCTTCATCAATAAAATGGTTCTCAGGATTTTTATACCTTGTGATGATGGCATGGAGATGTTAGAGGTGCTGAAATGGATGCAGAAATCACATACTATAGTTGGAATTTTCTTCTAATATTTTCCTTCCTATAAAACAGATGATCTTTTGTTCCTCTGATTAAGAATTTACTTGCCTATGTTTCTTCACATAGCTGCAAGTAGCAACATCTGCTGTCTTGAGTTTCTGTGTGAGACAAATCCACCATCTCAGAAGACAGAGGGAGACTGAATATTACCTGTGCAGGGTAAAGGAAGGATGATGTAAGGACCGTAGCTGGAGTCGTCGGTCTCTTTGCCGCAAACTTGTTCTGTGTAGCTTCCCTCTGCTCAAGGCTCAGAGGGACCAGAGACCAGAGACCATGGAATGACCACAGAGGCAGACCCAGTGGCCAATTTCTTCTACAAAAGTCATGAGGCCTAAGTAAACAGAGGCAATAGTCATTTCCTCAGAGCACTTTTTACAAATCTTGTGTCAGATTTTTATATCTGCTTGAAGCTCCCCATCACAGAGGCTCTTCTGTGTTGTGGTGCATAGAGGTCAGGAACTCAAAGCAAGAAGGAAATAGTGATGGAAGTGGTAGAGTGGTGGATAAATTTTGTTCTACATCACTCTGGTAATATCTGCCATTCAAAGACAAAAGCATGGGAGAATTGCTGCTAGGCCGGGACTCTCAAAGTGTGGTTTTCTTGCAGGATCCCACGGGGTATTTCTTTTTTAATTCCAAAGAGCCAATAGTCATTAACTGTGGTTGTGGTTTTGGCTTCACTGCTCACTCCCACATCCAGTTTCAGATCTGAGGTTGTTTGGGAAGGCGTTTTGGAGCCTGGAAACATGCCTCTGCAAACAGAAAACCAAAGCTTTTAAAACCTTGGAAATCTTGTATGGGAATTTCCTATTCTGAAGAAGAAATCCTTGTAGTTAAGTCATTAACAGGTCCTACTGCAGTTCATGTGTGTGCATATGCCATTTCACAATGCTATCTCCTCCTGTGCTTGCGGTGTTCCCTACCAAGCCCAACAGTGGCATGTGGTGTATAACCACCTTTTCTCTGTTTTCTCTGTTTTCCATTAATGTCCCTCTTTCTTTTCTTTTCTGTACAAAGCAAGCAAAGCGGAGCAATGAGATGTTGCATGCATTTAAAAGTATCATAGCACTGCACTGAGGCTTAAACTCTGCTAACAAATTTCACATTGCTTATTTCTGCCTCTGAATAGATCCTTCTCCCAGACAATTTAAAAATGAAGGGAAAAAAAACCAACACAACACCCAAAACTGCCGTGTTGAATTGCAAATGAGTGTGAGACCAGTTATTGGGGCAAGTTTAACTGCTGGACAGCTTTCAGATTCTTCAGCTGCCACAAGCTGTCACACTTGCATGCTTCGTGCAGACTGTCCTGCCAAGAAGGCTGTAATCCAACAGCAGCATCGCAAACTTACAGCATTTTCTGGGTTTTCCTCTTCCAGTCTCAGGCCACTACCTCACCTCTGCTGAGTGCTCAAAGCTCACTGAGGAAAGCTAATTCCCTGTCCTAATGCAGCCAAAGCTTCTGGTTTCGTTGGGTTTTGTCTGATCTTTTGCAAAATTATACAAGTGTAATATTGGAAATAGCAATATGCTGAAATTAGCAACAAAACAAGAAGCATACGAAAGCTTGTCAAACTCAGAAACAGTTGGTTCCCTTCCTTCAAGGTAATACATTATTCATAGCACTTTGCTGGGATTGAGGATGCCAGCGACAGCAGAGGCTGTGGGTGAATTGAAGTTGCTGAGTGTGCAGGAGACTCGTCAGGCAGGAGTTGATCGGCCTCTGCTACTGTTCATGATTCCATCCCCTTGCATACTATTTTGCTGCTCTAGGTCACGCTTCTCCTCTTCAAAAGGCATCAGTTTTCCTTCCTTTAGCACACCGTATGGGACATAGATAGTGAGTAATTCCTGTTACTGTTCTTATTTGTATCTGTTGTTGACATGGCCGCTTATATCTAAAGAATAACTGGGATTAAAGGGCTGATCTTACTCTTCTTTGGAGCAAAGACAAAACTGCTGCAGTGACACAGCAGGCACTCACATCCTTAGAGAGGTGAAGACTGCAGTCAAGTTGTCACTGGTGGATTTGGATGGAGAAGTCGGTACATTAACAGTCCATGGCATGTTTTTAACTTTGCCAAGCACTAAATTGATCCGTGCAGCTAGGAGTTGCTCTTTAACAATGTTATTAATTTGCAATGCATGAGCAGCCTTACAACAAAAATCTGTAAACTGTTTAACCTCATATACATGACTGATCTTTTGTGGCTTGGCTATTAATCATGCATGAAAGCAAGCAAAACTGT